CCCCAAAACCCCAAAACCCCAAAACCCCAAAACCCCTATTTTTCAGAAATAATTTTAATAAAATAACATCAAAATGCAAAAAGGCCAAGAAGGAGAACACCAAGATTCCGATTAAGATAAAGAGGATGTTATGGAGAAAGATTATTTCTTTAAAGATGATGCTCGGATTGGTACTGCAAGCACCAAAAAAGATAAAAACAATAACTACCTCAATCTAACAGCAACAGAAATGTTAGAATTAAAAGAAAGAAGAAGCGCAAAATTTACCGTGAATTTACCTTAGACTGTACTAAATAAGGTTGACAACAAAATTCCTGAATACAAGCCTTTCCTGGACTCAAACCTCGCAACCCATTTCTCAAAGCCTATTTACAAATAAACAACTTAAAAGAATGCACTTCAGAAACTCTTTAAGCAAAACCAGCTGAGTAAGAATGAAATCAAATCAAGAAAAGAGAAGGTTTAGAGGTGCCAAAATTACTCCAAAGAGTCACAAAGCATCTTTCAAAAATCATGATAGACCTTCATGAAACTCTACTTTTGATAACAAAGATTCCAAGCAAGAGTGTGGCAAAAGAATGATCTTATCTACAAAATTATACTATAAGAATAACTCCAAGGAAAAAGAAAGGGATCAGAGACCCAAGGGAGCCAAAGTTAGACTACCTTATATTAATAAATCTGAGAGGGAGACCAGTCAAAAGCCCAAGCATGCATTGACACATAACAAGTCAAAGGATTCTCCAAAGAGTGGTAACCAGAAAATCAATTCCTCAGAACATAATAACAGGAGAGTGTGTATTAATATCTTTGACCATTGCTTGATGGATAATATTAACCAATTATTTCAAGTCAAGTTAGAGTCTTTGGGGCTTTAGAACTGGAAAGGAAGAGATACTACTCTAGATCAGCTGTAGAATCAGTACTCTTCATTTCAACATAGAATTAGCAACAATTTCCCATCACTTTCCAATTCAGTCATTCAACAAGCTTTGAAAAATAAGGGGTTTTGGGGTTTTGGGGTTTTGGGGTTTTGGGG